TGTTTTTGAAACACTATCTATCATTTATCAGTAAATCAAGAAACAAAAAAAAAAATAGTCAAATTAAGTTATCAAAACTCTAGATTCCAAAAAACAGCATTGGTTCTGCAAGGACCCGGCCAGTTGCACCAAATAATTAACCAATTCTACCAACTATGACGGAATAAATGCCACAAGGGTAACAGTTTATACTGTGAAATTCGGTTTTTTTTTTACATATGACACTGTTTCCGCGAAGCATACGAAAATGACGAGCCGTAGTTAAAATAAGTTTACTAACTAAAATATTCCGCGTTTTAAACTGTTTTAATTAAATATATTTTTTTGTGCTGTAATATTATATAGTAATACAATTTTTTAATAAGCGTTTCAGAATAGAATCGATATTGATATTATAAAGCTGTAGAGTTTGTTTGTTTGAACGCGCTAATCTCAGGAAGTACTAGTTCAAATTTAAGAAAAATTTTCATATTATTTTGTATATAAGGATAATTAATTAAAACTGCGTAGTTATGGTATGATTATGATTTAGTTTAGTTAATTTAGATATGTTTTAGTATTGTTAACCTTATAACACTACATATATATACATACAATACAGTGTAAACTACAAAATAATCTCTCATAACCAAAATCGCTTTTAACTCAAAACATACCATGCACTAGACCCGGCGGAGTTTTCTCAGACATTTATTACAATTGAGTTTTACTTTAATTAGGAAAGTGAGAAACTTGTTAATAAATACAGTTTAAATTTTGCTTCTCTTCATATTTTTGGTGAAGTTATATCTTTTACTAATAATATTTTGGATTTATGAAAAGATCAGACGTCTGATATTTCTGTTCTATGCGCTTATTGGAAAACTTAAGATGCTGACATTATCAATACGAAACGAATTTTTGTGGAATTGGATCGGAAAAAAAAAAAACGGTCCCGTATGAAATGAATCTCGCATTAACCAGAATCTCCCTCAAAAAGCGCAAAGCGGTCGCGGCAAAGCGCCTCATAACGTCGAAATGACAACGTGTGCGTTATTAAATTCCCGAACGATGAATTTAAAATTACCTCTCCTAGGCTGCTTATGAAAAAATATTCACCACTTTGAAAGCGGGAACGCCCCGTCCGTAATTGAAACCGCACCAAAAATAAACTTGTTATAGGAAGCTATTATCGAAACATTAACGTGAAGCGAAAATATTTTGAATGTGGAAAAATATGAAGACGGATCGCGTTTTCTCTCTAAAAGTAAATATACGTTACATTTTATTTACCAGTGAATTCTAAGCAAATATATATCACGAGATCATATATTTTAGAGTAATATTTAAACAATATCAATAATAAGTGCTTTAATGTATCTGACGTACCGTGAGGACCGCGCGGAGAGTGTACCCCGATAAGATGAGTAGGTAAAACGGATCGCCTCTTAGTATTCGCCTTTTACAAATATGTTTAGCCAAATTTACAAACTTCGGATATAAGTTAATTTTCACGTACCTAACCAATACTTTATGTAACGTCGAATTTTCTTAATCATTATTAACATTGACAGTTTGTAGTGTATATCGGACATTCTAGTTAAATTACATCTGACCTATATATATGGGATACGGCGTGTTATTAAAAGCGTCAAGTGTGACGTTGCGGTAATCGTTATCATGTTTGCAAATAACGGAAGTTTCAAGTGAAAAGGCAAAATTGCTTTTTGTATTGCACATGTTTATAGCATTAACATTGCCCTTAAAATAAAAATATATATATATTTTTATTACGTTGTGCTAACAGTAATATTAACTTTATAACAATAAAGTTATCAAGTTCTTTACATACAACGGTAGATAACTTTTATTTTTCCTTCAAGACGTAACCGTCCCCGAATCGGAGTAAAAGAGTTAAACGCACACACAACACACACTTCATCAAGGCGATTGTGGAGTCGGATCAAACGGTCAAGCGTTGAAAATTGAGCATAAACTTGTAAGTTTGTGAAATATTCATGTCTCCAGGGAGACGGAACGGCTGCATTGTGGCGGTCCATTCATTGTGGGCCGCCTGGGATCTGATTCATGGAGCTTTTTCTAGCTTTGCCGAGGTTGCCCTTCGTGAATATTTCACCCGCTTTTTCGACGCGACTTATACGACTGTTAAATGAGAGTACTTATGTTCGTGCCGTGTGAATTTCAACTAGCTGCAGGTTCGTCCCTCCCCTTAATGAATAGATGCGCCCTAGGTAAATCCACTAGATAACATTTTATTCATATCTTTCAGCGTTTGATTATCTACAATGAACAATAAGGAATTTAATTAATTCTTTACTATTTTTTTTTCAGTCAATTTAAGGTGTCGGGTTCTTGTTTTGGTTTAATTACCCATTTATTTTACCCATTTCACCTAAAATATACTCATAAATATAGACTACAACATAATAATATTAATGTTACATACTTATTATTTAGCATATGTATTTTTTTATACTTATTTTTACGATACAAGCGAGATGAACTATAGAATTTTAGCCCGTTTGTACAGCGATAAAACGTCACATATTCGAATAATATTCGAATTCGCGACGATTATCAGCAATAATGTTATCTCGAGCTGGCACGTCAAAATCATGTGCGTTTAATATTTGATCAGCATTATTGTGCACGGTATGCGGTATGCTATGTAGTGGGCGATATCAGTTTCCGGCAGTTATTTATTATTAATGCATCTCCAGGTATTTCTAATATCCGTTTCAATCGAGCGAATTGTACGAAGCTATTAATTCAGTGGGTGTCTCGTGTCTCCCTAGTGGAGAACTCGTTGAAGTGTACGTTAAGTGAACGAACACACAATTGAGGTTTTACGACATAAATCACATGGAAGATAAACTAATCGACAAATATTAAACGAGCGAGATAGTTTGGCACAAAAGCCAATCGTTATAGAGCAATGTCCACGATATTGAAAATCAATTGCAAAAAAATGCTCACAATGAAAAACGGCAAACTAGAAATATTTGTTATTCTGTCATAACTTCTCCTTGTGCTAAAATGTTTACTGAACTGGAACTGGAAACAAACATTTAAAGCTAAAATAGTTTTTAGGTACTTGTGTGGTGCGCTCCTATTATAATATATAATTTCAGGAATTAAGAGTAAAGTTAAGTCACCTTACACTATATTGTTATTATATGTATATTTTTTTTTAACTAGATGTTTCAGCGACTTCGTCCGCGTAGATTTTGAGCATCAAAGTTGACCATCAAATGCGCAAGTTAATCTTAAAAGATATACATATAGTGTCGCGGATATTTTATCTTTCATACATATTTTTTGGTATGTTGAACTGTTTTCGAGCGTACGCGTTCCTTTTTGATCCGCACTCGCCTTCGTACCTAAATCAGACATTTATTTTTATGAGTTCTTCCCATGATCTTCGCTCTACTAATAACCCCCTTCTCTCTATGCCTATCCACTTGTCAAAGTGTTACGACTCTTCTTTTTCAGTACCGCCTATCCGCCTATGGAATGAGCTACCTCCACTCATAGAGTCACGATATACTTATGGCCAGGGTCAAGCATTACCAAGCAATTACTGACTTTAGAATGAATCACATTTAGGACCTTAAGCTCAAACCGCCTTTGCTCAAACATTTTGTATATATTATTTTAAGTGTCTATGTTTGTGCAATAAAGACTTATTATTATTATAATTACGCAACGGATACCCACAAAGGTGAATAATTATGTCCGTTTTCTTCACATTTTGCGCTTTTTCTTCACCCTTGTTAGTTTCAGCCTATGACGTTCGTCGATGCATGTTCTAACCAACAAATAATTTTTCGTTTCGTTTCGTAATATTTAGGGCCTGAGATAAGCGCGTTCAAACAAACAAACAAATTCTATTAGTATACATACGCTGAAAGTAAAGTTACAAAGCCATAGGACGATACGCTTTAAATATCAATATATTGAAATATTGAATAAAAGGTTCAACGTAAAATAATTCTTTATAGGTCACTGTGTGCCGTGGCAATGATAAATAAGAGTGTTTGATTGGAAAAGTTGTCTCCGTGACGCCGTTTTCATGGATTATGAAGTTTCAAAGTTTAAGTAGGCCTATTTATTGTCGAGATTAGTTCGGTTTCCGTATCGTATTGAAAAGTAGGTTTAACAAACATATTGACATTCAAATAAAACACTTTGGTTTTAAACGAGATATATTAGTTAAACTAATTTGATTTTTTTTTTAACTTCGGCCAGACGTTTCCCCGTCTCCCCGTGACCACGGCTGCTGCAAAGCATCCGAAACGAAGTTGAAAATCTATAATAAATAAGTAACTAATATAACGCGTTTTAAACCGTTAAAGTATTTTATTTAAATGTGTACTACTCGCGTAAACTATAGACAGTATTTAAACATATTGACACCCTCCGAGGAAAAGTGGCAAACGGCGTGAACGTACGGACGAATGAGTTTCGATATTACTGGCCTGGCCATCCGTCGCCAGCAATTTGGATGAAGGAATCAGGAAATCAGGATATTGATGTTGAATTATACCTACAGAGCATCATTTGCGAGTCTTCGGTTTGGCACTCGACCACCATTGTACCTCTGACAGAGCCAATAACGTCTTTCTAGCACTGACAACCCATTCGGCTTAGAGAATAGGTCACTGTATCGATGTCTTGATAAATTTTATATTGTTTGTTTTAATCTATCGCTATGCCTAAATGTGCTATAAATTAAACATAATAACGTTTCAAACGTGATCGATACTTTTCATTATTTTTATGTTCATTAATTTAATCCGTTATTACAAATAACTATTTATTAAAAACAGTTAACACACGTATTCGTAAATGCGATACATATTTGATACATTTAAAATCATAGCTAGGTGAAAAATATATACTATTGTCGACCTAAGGGGCCGCCTAATAAATAAAAGCATACCTCGAACAAAAGCGACATCCCACAAGCGCACAGTTTTAGAATCCGTAAACTTTGCTCATTAAGGGAGCACCGACGTAAACACTCGCGCCGCCGGCGGAGTCGGAAAGTTTGTAAAGTTTCCCGCGGCAAGGCTCACGGGGCGAAGGGCGAGCGACGGGCGCGCTGGCTCGCGGCGCACTGAGGGCGGACAAGGATTCGCTCGGTTACGTGCTAAGATCGAAATTTGATCGCAGTTAGAACGAGCGCGTAAGACAGCGCTTCGGGTAATTTGGTCGCGCCGAGGCGCATGCGTCGGTCGTTCAACCCTTGCAGTGGCTGCATCGCGCCCCATTACCTCCATTTTTGGACACGTTTTGCGGTCGCGTCCTCCACGCTTTTGTACAAGGCGACGGACGCTAGGCGAACAATATGTCGCTTCGCGGCGTTTTTCGCTCGCTATTGCACTTTCCCTATCGGGTACCGGCTTTGTCTCTATTCTCCGCGGTCCAATGTGGAGACCGACAAAAACTAAAGGTGGTTCTTGTTTTACGAGTCTAACGCGGGTCTATCGCATCGGACTCGCCGATGCAAGAGCAGTTTAGATTTATAATGAACGGCGGGCACAATGTGGCATATTTCTATTGTTCCGCGGAAGCGGGGCGTAAGCGTATAATTAGATTGTATTGGCCTTTGTATGAAATTCACGGGGTTCAAGCGTTTTCGCTTAATTAACTCGCACATTGTAACCTGATTTTGTTTGCTCGCTGCTTATTTGCGTTATTAACTTTTCACGTTGCCGTGGCGCTTTAAATTTAACTAATGAATTAGTTTCATTTATCCCGCTATCGGTCCGTTTGACTTTTCCCGTTTGCGGCTCTATAGATTTTGCCTCGATACACGAACGGTACATCGAATTGTCGTTCTTCAGAGCTAACAAAGCGCGCGATTTCGTCCGCATAGAATAGTTATTTTGGGCAATAAAAATGTTTTTGCGATCCTCCTCATCTTTATAAATTATAGCTGTTAACAACGATATCGTTCGCGTCCTGTCTTTGTTGTCCACTGTCTCAAGTATTTTTTTATTTCACTTTACTCCCATTAGTCGCAGCGTTATATTTTGTAGCCTAAAGTTATCCTTCATAAATGTTCTAACCAATACAAATTATTCAAACAAAGTCAAACAAACCAACAAACTCCTCAGCTGTATGTTATAAGTATAGATAGTTTTTGATTTAAATTAAAAAACTTATATGCTGGTTGGCAGTAAAACGAGCACGAAATAGCCACTTAACGCACACAGCGGCCGGCGAGTGCGAGTTAGCTCCGAAATAATAAAAGATAACATCACTCTGCAGGAATGTACAAAGTAAAATAGTAAATTGCAACAACAATTTTCACTAAAAACACATTTTGCCACGAACAGTTGGCGCTTTTAATCAAAACCAATGTTTGAAACTGGAATCAACTCGTACAAACTGGTTTCATGCAGCCATTTACATATTTTTTTTGTTATTTAATAGAATTCCGCGTTCATTTCGCTCACTGCATACGTATTTTTGGCTTCTCCGTAATAAAAATAAATATATCATTATATTAGTATAGATTAAACGTTTGCGATATTTAATGTTTCTCGGAGATTTTGACGTACGACGCTAAGGGGCTTTTAAATAGAGCACAGCATCAATTCGAACGTCAAAGCGGTTAACCTATTGATATGAACATGTGAAAGGTCCCCTACAAGTTGTAGAGGATCGCATTAGCCAGATAGCATTGTAGGCGTTCGCTCACGGAGTCTCGGCGCTCGCTTATCGGCCGTTTGCGGCTAATGCGCTACTATTATGTGCCGTTCAATTATGACGTCACGAGCCCATACATCAAGCCTAGGTGTATCTTGAATCTTGGCGTTATGTACGGGCGACCTATGTGCTCACACAGAACACGCTGATTGAGCGCACGAACGCTGTATACAAGTCTGTTAAGAGTCAGAGTTTTGTATCTGACTCTTGACAGCTGATGATTAGAATAAGCAACACGAACACAGAACGTATTTTCCACTTTCAATAAATGAGGCCGCTAGAGGCAGAGTAGCCTAAGTGCTATTTTACGGCTTGACTTATTTTTGTACACTAAAAATGGTAATCTTCAACAGCACAGTGACCGAAAATTGTAAATATTAGTTTTACACAAGTAATTGTAGGAATTCATTTTCGCCTAAGTAAATTGATCATTTTTATTTTTATCCTTATTGAAAATCATGTTTTTTGTTATTAGACCACTCTCCCTGTAGCAGCCTCAAATGTACTATTGAGTATAATAATGTTGTAGATCCACTTTACGTATAAAATTAATGTAACCTAGTTTCAATAATGAAAAGAATCTTCTTGGATAATATTGAACCAATATGTATTTTGGAGAAAATTAATCTAACTAGCGTAACTGCTGACTGCAATATCGTCTTTGTACCTATACCATATACAATATCTCGGTAATATACTAGTTATTACCGCAGCAATCTATTTTATCAATATCATCACATAGACTTACTAACACATATTAGGTTATTAAAGTGAATACAACATTTCGCCAATGGATTTCTCCACTAGTTTAATTCAATCAATTTAAAAAGAAGAAAAAGTACAAAAGGGAGAATTTTAGATCGCTCTTCTATTCGCTGTCTGAAATATGGTAACTAGCTGTGTCAACGACTTCGTCCGCGTGCAATAGTTATTTTAGGCATCCACTGTGTTTTTGCAAACCTTCTCCGCATCTTCAAATATAGCTGTTACCAACCACGTCATCGGCGTACCATCGTTCTTGTAAGATTTTTTAGATAATTTAAAAAGTAATCGTTCTTTCATACACATTTTTTAGTTATCTTGAATTGTGTTTGCAGCGTACGCAACTGAAACCCACAGAGATGAAAAAATTTCTTGTCTTCGCTTATAGAAGTTAAGTAATAGTACTCACAGTAATGTTTTATAGCCTATAGTCTTCCTCGATAAATGTTCTAACCAACACAAAAATAATTTTTCAATTCGAACCGGTAGTTCCTGAGATTAGCGCGTTCAAACAAACGAACCGCTTCAGCTTTATATATTAGCATAGATTAGTATAGATTATATGTAGATTAGAATTAGTAACCAATGTCCACAGACAAAAGAGTCTAGAAAGGGGACTGTTCGTTTCTGGTGAAATGTTCGGAAATGGCTTTTGAAATCTTGTTTTGAGATGTTTAATGCTAAAAGATAAATATAAATATATTAAACATTTCTATAAACAGACACGTTGGAGTCTGAAAAGCGAATCGTCGGCAATTAACGTTCAAATTTGAACCGGAGTTACACCAGACCTGTCGATATTCGCCAAACCATTTATAGAACTAGAGAAATCATTCGTTTATAATGATCTAATGATCTTTTAATTAACAAATCTAAAAAGCGCGTCGCAAAGAAACTTACGATTTCATTTGACTATAAGAAAGTCTAAATATGGCCTTATGAATTAAGCTGATTTAGGCCCGAATACAATTTTAATAACTACCTCCATTTAGATATATGTCTACGATTATTAATGATTAATGCCGATAGTTGCCGGTCAAATCCACCAACTATCACTGAGTGCGCTATAAACATTAAAATAAGTGTCAACCGGGCTTAAACCGAAATAGTAATAATTTATAATTAGTCGACGCGTACAAAACGCGGGGCAACAGAGAACAGTGGTTGAAATCAAAGTAATTAGTGCCGCGCGCTGCCTAAAGCGAATCCCATCTAGTGGGAGATTTAGTGTAATCCACGCAAACATTCCCTTCATAAGCATGCGGAATCCCGAGGGAGTGCATTGTGCGCGGGTTAGGCATATTCAGATTCTTTAAAGAAATATGAAATTATGCCAACGGATCTTTGAATTCGTCTTCCACGTCGAAACTCAATCCAATACCGAACAGATCTTATGTTTGTATTTCACCTTATGTCGAGTAAACCTTAAAACATTTTACCTGTTACTAGATGTGTCAGCCATAGCGGTTGTTTTATAGCCTTCCTTGATAAATGCTCTAACCAACACGAAAATATATGTTTTTAATTTGAACCAGTAGTTTCTGAGATTAGTGTGTTTAAACAAACAATTAAATTATTTTTTGTGACCAAACAAATCCTGACTTTCATCTTTGTTCCGCCTTACTCTCCCGTATCCGTACAGAACGGCAGCCTTTCGTCGTAAACGTGTAAGCCCTCTTAGTGCTAACTAAAATAATTAACATTGAGCGGCGAAATATTGTGAACGTATGACTATTATTAATGCATCAAAGGAATATTAACGTGTACCTACGCTCACTGTGTTTAATGCCAACACGGTTCGTCATTATTAACATGCTCCGAACGCAGGTTAGTTAGAATTTTTCTTTCTTTCTTTCTAAATATGCGAGATTTCAATATATTAGATTTAGATTAGTCACCATATCTTGTTTACGTAAGTACTACTTACAGCACATATAACACGAACGATCACTGTTAGTATCAATTACAGTGACGAAACGAAGAGAAATAATAAAAATTGTGGTTTTAATTGAAAACGACTATAAGCCGAACGAATGACTGCAATCTGCACGGTCCTCCCTCTGGAGTGCACTGTTTGACACATATTTGTCAGAACGATACTCGATCAGTTGATTCAAAGGATGCCGCGAAAAGTTAATTTCGTAATGGATTTCACTATTGCCGATAATAATTGAAAGGATCACATCAATATTCTTTAACTTAATGATAGGGGTTTTTTAATAATATAATACGTAAAGGTAGTACTGCTGTTAATCAGAATCATGGTGATTTGTAACATAAGTAGACGATCGTTAAACAGTAATGATGACTGATAAAATATAATTTTTAATTTGTAAACACGGGTTGCCAGTTCCGTATAGTGTTTCAATTAGTAGCCGAAGTCATTACAATAACTATTATCGAAGTTAAACTTAAATTAATAGTTAAATCCATCTCGGTGCTACGAGGAGATTTATTATCAGAAATCTCTGATTGATCTTGCGTGAACTAATCTTAATTATTGAACATAGAATTGCGAAATAATAGAGCCTGGAGCGTAATTTAATTGTTCGACATATTTGATGTCGTGTATGAGATAAAAACACACCTCAATTTCATCTCGACGTTCGCTTCATAAACTCACCAATAATAATTATTATATATAATAACTGCTTTGTTTCTCTAACTTTAAAAACCCTTTACCACATCGTAAAACTCACATATAGAAACAAGTCAAATTATTATTAAAATGCCACTTGGGAGAAGTTTGTACGAAATTATAAGGCCCCCGAATAGAAAGGCTTAGCAGATCCACATTTAGTGGATCGCGAACAGATATTTAATCAAGTGCCTTGAATAGCACAGCGTCTGAAGCGTATAATCTAAACACGTAAGCCTTACAATAATTATTAACTGTAATTATCGCGATTCAATTCTATGATACGAGAAATCAATCTAAAGTTATTAGGTGAATATCGGGCTGTTTACGTGTATATGAACTATTCCACAAGTAAAGATGGACTATATTGTTCGTGCATTATTAAATCGGTTAGAAAATACAATTTTAATATGAATTGTTTTTCTTAAATAATAAAAAGTGTGTATTAAAAAACGTATAATTAAAAAGTTTTGCACGGATTTTATAAATATGAATGTATATTATTTTTAATACACTCGCGTGTTGTATACAGTGCTTCAAGCGAACGCATATGATCCCCGACCGTGCCTTATCGGGAAGCCTAGATGTAAATGCCTTCTCGCATACAGAATATGAGAAGATTCCTATTGTTAGGGCAACACTGCTTTGTGGCCGAATCATAGATGCCTCGGCTATGGGACGTAATATCGCTTCAAACGGTATCAAATTGATGGCCAAAACCCGTCCTATGTGAATCGCCAGCCTCTATTGAGTACATATTTTGCGAAACGAAGGGCTCCGTTTGGTATTCGGTGATGAAATAGCGTGATGATGTTCGCGTCATGTAGTCGACAAGTAGTTCGTAATATTTTTATAATTGCAGCAAAAAATGTATTCCATATTACACCACCAAATCCACCAAAATCAAATATTTAATATAATAGCTGTGTCAGCGATTTCTTCCGCGAGAATCGTTATTTTGGGCATCCAAATTTATTTTTGCAAACCTCTTCATTATTATAAACTTAAGCTTTATACCCACGACTTTGGTAGGGTCCCTTCCCGTCCTTCTTGCAAATTAATTTTAAAAGATAGACATTTAGCGTCGTGGACTTTATTTCGATCATTTAAAAAGAAATCATTATTTTATATATATTTTTTGGGTATATTGAACCTTTTTTGTAGCGTTATACCTCGCAAACCTATAATAATGAATAATTCCACATTTTTTTTCCTTACATCTCGCTGTATCTACGCTTGTATTTATCACAAGACGATGTTTTATAGTCTAAGTTTTATAACTTTTCTCAATAAATGTTCTAACCAACACAAAAATAATGTTTAAATTCGAATGCCTAGTTCCTGAGATTAGCGCGTTCAAACATACAAACAAACAAACTCTTTAGCGTGTATTATATATAATAATACACTCGTAACTCTAGGGAGAACTGAGTTTAAGTAGAATATAAACTGTAAAACTTGAAGTACATTTGTCGCGAAACTCCTAAACTCTCAAAGTATTAGCCAAACTTAGTTTATGATGATGCAGACTTTCAGTAATTCTATCGACGCCAACTGCATAATGCATCGTCGCACTTGCATCGAACCACTCCGTCTTATGTCGTTTCGTTTTACACTCTATTTGGTGCGAGCCTTTCTCCAAACGACGTACAACGACGGTTTTGCATTGACTATTCGTGAAGGTATAGGTCAAAACAAGTGATGTATTGCAACAACTTTGAACGGCAATATTATCGGCGCCTTCGTCGGATACGACACGCAGTGGTAGGGGGGTTTCAGGTCGCTAGAAGCAATAACTTGAGTGCACATTGACGAACGCATTTGAAGTGTCTTCTCTTGACTAAGATGGAGATCCTTTTGAATGCCTTTTTCTCGGTGACGTCAACGCCATTCTTATTCTTGTCTACTTAAATGTGTATTGCTGATATACTGTTTACTCAAGCAACTAACTAATTTATATATGAATATGTTTTCATTTGATGTTTTATGTTTATGTTTAATGTTTGAATTTTTTACTTTGAAGGTCCGGTGTATTTTGAAACTAGTACATACATAAGACAATATTTTTTTATCATCTTTGAAACAGTTATTATAAATCTAAAAAAATACCTTGAAATTCATTATTGTACAAATAGTTGCTATGAATCGTTTGATTCCTACATCTTCCTAATTTATTGAAAGAACATAATAATAATTATAATGAGAATTTAACACAATATTCAGGCAGTGCAATTTTCGTGAAGGCCCAATAATGCCACCACCTGCCTACCAATTACGCCCAGTAATTGGGTCAATTTTCCAATCACCGTCAATACTACATTATTATGGGGCCTTTTGACAATTTTACAAATTGTTTATGAAAATAATCGTCAACAATCGACCGTAATAGGCTATTATACAAAATTAAAAATAACGAAATATGTTGTCGATATATGAATTTATAGTTTTGTTCACAAACGATAATATTGTGTGTCACATAGTTTGTTATGCTTCGTTTTTACTTTGTTTTTGTGATTTTTTTTATATTTTAATTTATTAATATGATTTGTATTTACATTTACATATCCATAATAAAAAATATACATATCGCACACAGTGATGTACTGTTCGGGGAGTGTATATTATGATCGTAGCCCCGTAGCGTCATTCGTAGCGAAACATCTACGTCGTAGTTGTGCAGCAGCAAAGTCATCACTACGCTACGTTATAACAGCTACATTATAAGCGTTATAAGTTACAGCTAGCATTTTATATATTATACGTTAAGAAATGACTTTAACTAGATATTACTTTATAAATGTACAAGCTATCAGCTAAGTTCGCACATAGTGAGTAGTATTTTGTGACAAAATTTCGGCTACCGACCGACAATTCGACCCACACCTGTTAGGAATATTAATTACCACCGGCTTAAAATTCGTACGCAATAATTTGTAGAATTTATTCATGTAAGCTCCCATTACCTGAATACTTCTGCAGTCGCATAATAATACCGCGTATTTATTTGATGTAGTCGGTTTTTAGTGTTGAATGTGTTTCGCACGTCTGTGCATGTTTTAATCCTATACTATCTTCAAAAAACTGCGACCCTCACCGTCTTTGCATGGGATCAATGCTGATACTGAATATAGAATAGCATATCCTAATAAACAACGTTTTCACCAAAAGACAATGCCGATCGACCGTGAAACCGCCTTCCCCGGCAAAGTTTTTCGATATTAAGAAATACAAAAATTTCAATAGGGAGAACGGCCTCCAATTATCAAACACTTGGGATCCCATATTAAAAACTCTGGATCCCAATAAACAGCATACCGGTAAACGCGAAGACACCATCAGTCAATTCTGCAAGGACCCGGCCAGTTTCGCCAGATACTAACTACGACTGAACAGATATCGCTGGCGTAGCAGTTTTTACTTTGATATTAGAGACACCCTTAATCTTCAGCCTCCCCGTGACCACGGTTGCTGCAAAGCATCTGAAACATCGGGCCGTAGTTAAGATAATTTCCAAATAAGTTTAACTAAAAAATATCGCGTTTTAAATCGTTAAAGTATTTTAAATTTAAATGTGTACTACACGCGTAAACTAGACAGTATTTAAATGATCTATGCATTATCCAATTCATCAGGAAAAACGGAAAATGCAGCGTCCGGTGCGAGAAGCCGAAATGCGAAAGCAAATTGAAAATAATAAGTCAGATGTTGGGCAAGGCTGGACAGGGCTGAGCCATTCGTCAGTCGAGCGGATTAAGCTGCTGACGCTCCCCAGATAGTTGGCGCGGTTAGTGACTCATGGATGTCACCCGGCCGACGATATTTCTCCAACGATCTGTGGACATTCACTCGATCGACCTTTCGACTAGCTTTTTACCCGGCTTGCGTAAAAGAACTACGTCTAAGGGTAATTTTATAGGAATATACAAACTTCGGCGGAACAGTTGACGTAGCAGTTTTTCTTTGTCGTCAGAGACACTCTCCATCTGTTGCTCTCTCCGTAACTACGGCTGCTGCAAAGCGTCCGAAACGTCCAGCCGTGGGTAAAATAAGTTTAACGGTTTAAAACGAGATATATATTTGATAAAGTGTTTATTTAAATGCATAGATCATTTGTCTTAAGCACATATGTAAAATAATAACTAATCATAAAACAGTAACTTCTTTTATGTTGCAAAATATTGTTTTGAAAATATAAAGATTTTTCTAGATATATTCGCACAGTACAGTAATATGCATTTGGCGTATTTATTTTAATTGGAAAGAACAAAATGAGGCTGATAGAGCAATTAAAAAAAATCTACATGATGTAACAATTTATTTTTGTAAATTGTCAATTTAAACCTTTCTTAGTGAACAACGCCAGTCAAAACGTAGTTTTCATTTAAGCTAATTGAAGTTTATAGGAATTCCTTACTTACATTTAGAGCCGTCTCTGTCCAGCGTCCTTCTGAGAAATTTTCGTTCAACTCGTAATAATTCGAGCAATAAAATTTCATAATTAACCACTATACATTTAGGGGCCATTTTACTTTAAGGACGGCTATTCTTAGTGCCTTTAAGATCTGAAACGGTAAAAGAAAAGGTGCGCTAGTAGAAAGTGCTTATAGGCTCTATCGCGATATAAATAAGGGTCGTTCTGCATTCGTCAATCGCAACTTGAGCCCTTTCGGGTCCGACGCGACGCCCCGGTACTAAGTGCATCAGGATCTCTACGTGCATCCGTTCCGAATGTCAGTTGGAAATTTCTCGTTACCGCAATAATCCACCTTCACGTTGAAATAACGTTTTGCTATATTTCACAATTTACGTGAGAGAAACGTAACAGTAACTCGCAGGGAACTGGCTAAATTATGGTGTATTCATTCGAGTCGGGCTCACGGCGTCTCCTCAGAATGTATGCTGAGCGATCGCCGAAAGAATTCAGTTATGCTAATAAACTTGTGGTTTACTACTTATCGTTTTTTCTCGGTTCCAGCCGGGACTCGATGGTCCATCGTAGAATTGGTATTACTTTTAATGCACATATCTTACACTTACACATATTATTTACAACTACGTCTATATATCAGCAATAAACAGAATATGATGTGAAAACTCTAGTTCAAATAAATCAAACAAAGTTTGAACGACAAAAAATAAAAAATCAAGATCATAGTTTGTTGTTCAAACGCTTTAGTAAAACTGTAGCCTAGAGCAGAACCCACCTCGCCGCGGCCTCCGTGTATTCCTCGAATTCGCCAGCCCGCGTCCTCCCGCGGTATGTGAACGAGCGAATGCCTCGAAGAACACCGGTAAAGTTTAAAGAACGCGTGGAATCCTTTCCAGTTCTGAACGCGGTCGATGGAGTTCGGCCAGAAGCGAATGAGAATACGAAATGAGCTCAGTTGTACCAACATTGTACCGGCATCCCTGAATAACTACCCGCCGGCATTATTGAACTTATTTACATTTATGTATTGGTCAGCGGCATTCGGATGCGAAACACGTTTCGGATGATATGTGCACAGCTCCAAATTACACTGAGAAACGTTTCGCAATTTCGACGGCCAATTGTGCTGTTGGCTCTTGTTTTCGAATTATACAATTACCGCCCCTAAACTGATTACCATTGAATTAATATCGGCTCAAATCGAGTCGCCAAAGGGCTTGTTTTTCTGTGATAATAAGAAAAAACAAATTTATTGTACGCTTAGAAACTTAAAATATTTATATTACATTTAAATGCGAAATAGTGATCGGAGAGGGAAAGGTGCCCCGAGCACGCCGGGGATTCACGGGAAATGAATAAGAACATCATTCAAAAGAGTGCATTAAATACTATTTTGCGGGAGAATTGAAATCTACTAGTACTAAAACTAGTAAAAAAAGATGATTATATCAAAATTTAATTTTTTTTGTAGTTTTTAGTGAACAAAAAATTAACTAGTTAATTAAATTAACTAAATTACTTTTTTTGACCGATTTTTATTTAGGTTTTTAATGTGATGTCGTAAATAATTTCATATTTTCCGCTTATATATTGCAAACGCCGGCTGAACCCTACTAGTTTCATCAAATATTGTACTAAGTTATGACCATATTAAAAAGCCTACAGAAAACTCAACAATAACGTTTATTGCCATTTACTTTTAACGACAAATAAAGTCTAATTTTCGAAGCGACTTTAACCAATACAGCATTAACCCTTATCCAATTAAATACCTTAAATACATTGTTGATTTAATATACAACTGTATGGCCTTTTACAGCATATGGTTGAAACTAATATTTTTGAAGATATTATGCGGGACGTAGCGTTTGCGGTTATACCGGCCGGACCAAAGCCGGAGCGGGCCACTATGTTTTTATATACAATGCAAGGCAATCAATTTTTCTGTAGTGTAGTTAGTATCAGCATTGTACCCGAGCGAACACGGAGCGGGTTGCTAGTTCAATAGTAAATTCGAAGTTTTATTAAAGAGGGAAAGAATAGACAAGTTTTTCTTTTAATGTAGATTAATTCTGGAAAGTGGATGATAGAAATAGTTATTAAACTATGTTACAATCCTTCTGCAGTCTGAACGCGCATATTCCGATACATCTACTGGCCCGATAGAGTTATCTTCGGCTCCTAATTTTTCCGCATTCACCACAAGGGAGCGAGGCAATCGAGCCTCCCACTTTATATTCAGCCGAATCGATTGCCGTTGTAAAAGGCATCGAGTGTAGCCGAATTAGAATTTAAAATATATCCGTTCCCTTATGAATGAGGACCGAAAGAGATGAAATATTAAACTGCTTTTTTTTCACGATCTCTCGGTCGCTCCGCTGCAGCTGAGCCGGTTGTAAAAACGAGACGTGACCGGTTAGACGTTATTTTGGCATCGATTTTCTGTTGTCTTCTCGTAAAGGATTAGATAATAATACGGGGCGATTCTTGTTGCAGCAGTTATAACGATAATAATTAAACGTTATACCGTTAAACGTTTTGCTGAAACTTATTTTTGACGAATATTGTTGTTCCTTATTGTGACGCTAACGTAAAGTTCACCCGACGGCAGGTGAAAAGTCGAGCCTCCACGTGTGAAACTCGACAAGGATGCGCCGTTCTTTTTTACCTTCGGCTTCAAATATGCACAGACTGTAACCGAAATGTGTTTCGATTGGGACTTTTAAATTAAGCCAACATTTTAATATCCGTCCGGACGATGCTCAGTTACGAGTTTGAGCAATATTTTTAGTAAACTTCGCTACCATTAGACCGAAGTTGTCGAAACGAATCTAAGCTGTAAATTGTCGTAACGGTCTGCGCGTTACATTAGCCATTACTATGAAATACGCGCGACGCGAGACGATTCACAATTGAACACTAAATTGATTTTAGTGAACGTAAAATGAAACATTCAGCTAATAAACACGGCGGCCGCTCTCGTGAAATATGTCTACGAGATAAAGGTCAGATTTATCGGCCATTGTTTTGCAAAAAACCTATTACTATATTCTGCTTTCCGATTCATCTTCATACTTCGACTAAACAGTAGGTTTTTCGTTGATTATCGGAGACCTCTAGTCGCTTTGCATTTGACAGGTTTTTTTGTTTGCGTGTTACGTTATCACATACCATATGTACCTACACACTTTTATCACAGCGATGGACCCGACCGTGCGCTACAAAAGACGGAGTTTATTTTTGAAATTGCTGCAATTAAAAGAAAACAATGCACACCGTGATTCGTGAACATCGGAATAAATCAATACAATTCGTTCGGCGAATCGAGACTAATGAAAAAGTGGCGAAGCTTCTGCAATATTTGCCGCCGCTGAATTGGTTCGCAACACATTTTGACATCGAATCGGATCGCAAGGATATCCTTAAATACGATTCACTGTTCGCTTCCAGTTTATTTCTTCGAGTTTCGTCACTTTTATTCCGCACTTTAGCTTCCACCTCGGCTCAGCCACTCTCGTCTTTTTACGTCTGAATTTTGAAACGGCTCGCGACCGAGTTTGCGCTCTACGGCTCTCGAGATAGAGCTCGTTTTCGAAGGGAACTAGGGGTATCTGCAATGTTTTTACTTTTCATTGCGACGACAGAATATGATGCAGAAATGTAAAATGTAAGGACAATTGAACGGAGGCGAGCGCAAATGTGAAACGAGTATTCTTTGCTGCCGTCTCGAATTATAGTTTTAGTCGCTCCTTTTGAATACTTTGAGCGTTTATTGTTTTCTAAATCAGTATCGGAAGGATACACCAAAGTAAACAAGTTTAGTTTCTTTCTACTCGGGTTGCCTGGAAGAGATCGCTTATAGCGATAAGGCCGCCCGGTACACTCTATAGTTATAAATTGCATAGTATCTGTATGTTCTGTTTGGTGTATCAAAGTGTAAAATACATAAATAAACATATGTGCAACGTCTTAATGTGACAGGTTCCTTCGCTTTAATGTTAGTTGATGGCTACTTCTTCTTTGTAAAAACAACTATATGTCTTTATACGTATGTACATTTTCTCTCATTTAAAGGTCTTTTATTCATTACAATCTTACTTACTACACACAGTACTTATGTTACGGCTTAAAATTGATCGTGCTATGAGTGATCTCATAATTTTAGTTTAGAATTGTCTCGCTGCGACAGAGCCTAGCTGCTCTGCGCCGGGACCTCCCCGACGTAGTCTTCGGGCACGCTTCGGATTTACGAGTCCCCGGGGAAGGCCCGGACACTTGTTCTACATACTTACTAGCGCCCCGGCATCCACTTCTTGTTGAAGCATTTTAAACTGGAAATCGTGTAAAATCGTATAAAACATACATGTATATTAGAAACGAGATTAAAATTTATTTATTGTTTTATTTATTTATTTAATTCTTTATTGCAACACACACAAACACAAAGTACACAATATATTTCCTTAAAAAATATTCTTAATAATACAAGTTAAAACGTTAAATTATTCTTACAAGTTATGGAGTGCAATGGGCGGCCTTATCGCTTTAGAGCGAACTCTTCCAGGCAACCCTTGTGTGAAATTAGATATATCATGGGAACGTGCAGGACATGCGAAGCCTAACAATACACAAAAATGAAGTTTTTAATCTTGTTAAAATGTGATTTTATATTAAAAACTTAAGTATATAATAGGTCCAATAATAATTCAAATACTCTTTCTATCTAAGGCGTTATTTTAGAATTTAATTATCTTTATTACCTCAAAATATATACCTAGTATAAGAAGCTATATCTAGTTTAAATCTGCCAGTGCAAATTATCACACTAGTTTAAATGTCGTTTTGAGGCAATAAATCGACGTAGAGACAGACCCCCGGGAAGGGCGGGGGGGGTTTATGACCCCACGTCATCGCTCCTGTGTTAAGTAGATCGACGCTTTTCCGCCCAGGTTAAACAGAACGCACCGTATATTCGACGTGGACTAAGCCGGGATCCAATATAGCGCCAAACAAAGGTTTACAAGAGTTTAGGCCACGCCCCCGGCTGCATATTCAACGCTCAAGTCAACAGAGTAGCGTGGGAGCTGACCGTACCACTATCATCGATATGTAAATGTCCTCACCGCTTCGGAAGTTGCTCAACTTTGGATCTTCAGTGATTAAAGTCCTTCGGGCCTCGTTGCTTACCTTAATTGCGTTTTAGTTCCGAAACTTTGCCCTTTATACATATATAGGCCAAATTTCCTTGCAAGACTTCGAGACGCTAACGATCAGCGTTTTAAATATAAATGATATTTAACGGTATTCTTATCAGCTTATCGTCGACGGTCGGCGGCTCCTAGTCTACGCCGAACGCACCAGCGCTCGTTGACCAATATGCGACGCTCGATCGCCGCGCTTTGAATTTTCATTCAATCTTCGGTACTTTCATTAATATTCCGCTTTGTCCCAGTTAATGTAAAATAGAAGCAATATTTATTCGACGTCCGTAATATTAAGCGACGGCCTTTCCGACGTCACGGCTTTTAGTATCGGTCGAGCGATCGTATTTATTCGTTCGAGTACTTTCTATTTAAATAAAACGTTAATCGTTATCGATATATAAATTTACTTTATTATACATGCTATTGATATAAATAAATGTAAGGAAATTTAAATTTTCCGCAATTCCCAAGGTTTGACATATGCGATGCTGACAATACAAAATCCTTAAACATGGAAGGACTTTTAATATGTAAAGCCTTCCAAGAAGGACTGTATTATTTTATATTCCTAGATCGCTTAAAAGGCGGTGGGAGTATTCTGGCTCACATAAACTGGGAATAGGTATAGAATGAAATGGAGTTACGTTTACGATTGACGGCGCCTGTCGCACGGCCGGGGATCCTTCTTTTGATTTGATGATGTTCTTTAAGAAACACTACAGGGTCGACCCTTCCGTACACCGTATCGTTTTATTTCAACCACTTCGATGGTGCGTCCTTCCGCGCCGGCGGTTAGGCTTGTACAACCGTAGTCCGTAAATGCGGAAGAGGGACAGATATAGAAAAGAGTGAGAGGAATAGACATAGAGGATAGTAGTCTATGAAGCCAGAACAAAAACATTAATATGCGACTTCCTCAGCTTTCCATTTACGCATATATCTGCACTTGGTACTCTAGTCCTTCTCCCCTTTCACTCTTCAATCGAAGAGTGGCGTATGTAAAGCCTATACCTCCCGCCATTATTGTTACTTTAGCCTTCGACTTATCCAGGTCGATCGCAGAAATACCCTGAAAATAGCAAAGAAATTATCAATTGTCATAGAACTTGAATTTTTAGTTAGAAGAAGACTGCGAAAACTAAATCACACGATCGGGAATTTGATATACCGTGACTTGAGCAAAATATCGGCATAAATTAGTTGACAAAGAAATGTTTTTATATATATTATATTTATTTCTAATGAATTTTTTTCTAATAGCAAAATACCACAACAAATATGGCAGATTTCAAACCATAGAGAATTAGTAGATTGAAGTATAACGTACCCTTATAGCTTGTTGACCATTGTAAGAGACAGTTTTCGTCCTCACTTTGAAAGGAAAAGCGGAAAGCGACACTTTTTCAATGTGCACCAGCTGTCCGTTTAGATTTGAGCCTACTGTGAAATTCTCCGCCTGGCACAGGCTTATCAAAGCCAAGGCCGAGAGCAAAAATAATAGTGGCTTCAAGGAGTACATTTCGAAGCGTTGACATTCACTGACGGATGCTGCAAGATTTCGCTCTTTATATCTCGCTTATCTCAAGAGGATAAGATAAATACGACGCTTGTATATCGATAATCATTTCCTCTTAATATTAAAGACAAAGTTGTTCCTAGAACCAAATCCTATCTTTATCTCTTCTTAGAAGTCTCTTATTTTATTTATGACTAGAAGTCCGCCCCGGGTTTGCACGGGTATTAAATAAACATTTTTCTTTTGATTTAGCGAGGGTTAAATCAAAATAGTTATGAAGGAAAATCAAATATTAAATATATCAATTCCTTAAAAACTATTTTTTAAATTGTGTAAGTTTTAAAGACTGTTGCAGAAAGATATTTCAACTACTCTTTAGAGGGCAAATGTGACGACTAGATCGCCTACTCTGGCGCCGAACGGCGACCACCCGACCTTTTTCAAATACCTTATTTTTAATTGTCGATATCATTCGAATGGGTAGTTTAATTCAAATATATATATATATATATATATATATATATATATATATATATATAGTTGGTATTGAAGCAGTTTTAAATTTGAAGACATTTATTTTTAAATGAATACCAAAGTGTACATGTGGTTGCGACAAAATCGTTGCACTTTATTTTGTTTCCACATTTTCAAGGCATTTTATAGCATTTTTACGGGGCTTTATTGGCGTTACATTACTTAAGTTTAATTAAAGATCCCTAATCTTTTTAACAATAAATATTCCTTACGTCATTCAATGTAAATGTAGCTTTCTAATGGTGAATGATCTTTTTTTATCGGCGTAGGAGGGCATAAGTTTCAATTCAAATTACAATTTTAGTGTTGATGGCATACAACGTATTTTTCGAGATTATCGGTATATAATGTGTATTTTCAAAAGAATACGCAGTTTTTGTCCTACATCCATCCATAAAAGAGTTACTAATAAAAGGCTTAAAGTTGAAAGGAAATTCGGTCGTCATAAAAGCTTCGCGAAACGTAGAAAAAAGTTCGATATTAAAGTAAGGGCACATTAACGGCAGATGTCGGGGTGAAAAGTGATGGAGCTCGCAAACTCACAACATTAAATGAAATAGATTGAGTTTCATTTGTCATCGCTTGATGCCGCGAGTGCCAAGTTCGGGACTTTACAAAAAGTTCATGTACCCGTCGAAGTGCGGAGCATTTCGTCGCCGACAAATTACGACCACGGCTGTGTGCATGCTTCGCTCAATTTCCTCCATATTTCTGACAAACTTTTAGACTTTAGTACATTACTATTCGTTAGCCACCAACTCAATATTTATTTATGAGGATTACTTCCGTAATGAAACAAGCTTGTAAAAAAGGGATCTCTCCATTTGACCATACTATATATATACATATTATTTCATTTTTAATAAATTAATATTTAAATCAAGAAAAGATTGGTTGAAAGTTACATATTATGCTTCCAGACATAGGTGTAATTGTAAATGAATAAAACCATTCAAAAATTTTAAGAGTGCCAAAAGGTTTGAAGTTGAAAACAATGACAGTATTCGTAAAAATATTTGCTTTATAAGCGACTACAAACATTGTAATCTGTTTATCGCGTAAATACATTACAAGTGCTGATAAAAGGCATCGATGCCAAATCGGAACAAAACGAAATAATACGATGAAGCGGTTCGTTGAATTTTCTTTTCGCTTAAATCTTTTTTTATCACTGATGTTTTTAAATTTTGTATTTGTAAAATAAAAAGAATATCTTCAAATATTTAAAAGATAAACACAAACTTAGCAACGTTTAAAAGGGTTAGAAATAGCTATAACGGAAATTAATTATAACTTTAATAAGCCCCTATTATTGAAAATAAGAGACAGTGATAAAACTTTTAACTACGATGCGATAGAATGCGATAAATTCCTGATTAAATAGTGAATCTACGAAACTATATAATTTTGGAACATATATAATTTAAATTTAAATAAAACACTTTAACGGTTTAAAACGCGTGGCATTGAAACGCACAATTTACGTGTAAATGCTATTACGTGTAAATAAGACCATCTCCTCTCTCGCTGAATAGCCGTAGAATGACTTCTGAGTGGCCGACACCGTCCCCTAATATATTTTTGAAGATACGTAACTAAAGAACTATACCAAGTTAGTTTATAATATATGGTAGGACGATTAAAGTAACTTTAGTTGGGATTACTTTTCATCTTATAATAGCTCTTTATCTCGGAATTGACCAAGCTGACTCCGCTTCCAACGCTCGTAACTGCACCGAGCATCGGGACGAGAAAAAAAACTACATAAAATACAATTCGGTGAACCCTCTCCCATGATTTTCTTTGACTGGACTACATCACTATTTATATCACACTTTAACAGACATTCTGATAACAATAACATACATAAATCGTCGATACAGAAAGACGTGGTCATGTCGGTGGTGATTTTCGAAATGCTCGTACGTGACGGAGGTATTTTTGACTCACCGAGCGTATCCATCGGTCGCGGTTTTTATCTTACGAGATTTCACAAGAGGTAGTCAAGCGTGAAGAGTTTTATAGCATCACCATCACCTAACGGAAAATTAAAATGATTATTATTTAGTAATAATTCTTTTTCTTTAACATACCGAAGAAAACACAACGAGTTATAAGTGAAAAATGAGCAAGCTGAGTGTACCTGTGCAGCCGTTACTACTGTTTACGAGGTGAAAACTCGCATTTGCGTGTAACGCCCTTTGCGCGATCTATCGTGGATCCAATGCACTCGGTACAGTCGGGCACAACGGTCGGTACCCTTTTCCAATTCTAGTGTTTAACCATCACTGAACATTAGCCTAGGAACTGAATTGTCCATTATTTTTAATACACGTATAAACAAAACAATAATCATTATAAAAAAGAAAGTGAACTCTACTATGAGCGCGACGCGTTTTTAGTGAAAATATGTTATATTAATATATATTTATTTCAATTTTGCATAATTTAAATAGCGGATAAAATAACATGAAACTGAGCATTCTTATTCATATTTAATTTTTAAATTCAATTTTGAATGCAACATTAATAATTGTGAGCGTGTCTGTATTATTTGTGCGAGAATATAAAGATATAAGAGTCCAAGTCCAAGTGCTTTTGGGATGAATTACCGGGTTATCATATAAATAAGGATTTAGGGATTTGAAATAAATCCCCCTGTTCCTTTACCCCCGCCAGCCACGAGCTTTCTTCATCTCTCCCCTTACTTTACTTACAATTAATATGGGAAAGGTAATAATTTTGTTTTTCTTTTCAGTTTAGAACCTAAAGTTGGTTTCCAATAAAGTAATTGATAAAAAGTCACATTAATAACTTTAATACAAATACAAATTCAATAATTATCATGTTTTTTTTTTCATAATATTACAGCTTATTCATAATTGTTTCAGTGTTCAACGAGAAATGCAGCAATAATCAAGCATTATGTGCTGATAAAAAGATATTCCTATCGCTAATAATATAACATAAACGAGTGAACTAAAAATGAGCAAACATCATTGTCACATCAAATTGTGTGTTTTAAAGATTACATCGCGTACATCCAAATTTGCTATAAAGGCCTTTTCGCTTATCCATCTGTTGTCTCGCTCATACCCTATGAAACTCGCTGAAGTGCGAAAAGCGTGAACATAACAATTGTTACCGCAGCTGTGTGACAGTTTAATGCCCGTTTCGTAGAGCCTTGTTATTGCATAAAAATATTGTAATGGACCCATTTCCTCCTCGGATAGCATAACCGTAGTATAAACGAATGCCCGTCGCCTTTCTTATTATTAATCGACGGAGTATGTCTGTTAATACAACTTACCAGTTTTTACGGTTAACTTACTTTATAGAAGGACTTCATATCTTTTGTAGACGAAATTTGCTTCTGCTGGACACAGTGGTCTCGTTTCACACCGTGGTGTGAACGTGGAACTTGGACGTGTCCAAGTTTGATGTGTTACCCAAAGTCATAGAAGCCATTCACGTGAAGGGGGAAAAGGGTGTTTTCCAACAAAAACATCAACAACGTGATCACACTGACTCTCCTCTTTTCGACTGAAAACTTCCGCATAATTAAATAGTGATTAGCGTAACCGTAGCTCCACACTACTTGCTTTTTTAACTGATATATTGTCCAACTTAAAACTAAATGTACCTCTCTGCGCCTGTGAATCACCACCGACTTAGACATCTATGTCGTCAATTAATTTATAAATTCTAGCATACATTATGTTACTCACGACGTCGTCCGCGGTTCGTCGTTCTTGTAAATCGCAAAAGATAGACATATATTGTAACTGACATTTTTCTTTATAATTTAAAGATGATTCATTCTTTCATACATATATTTTGATTTTTTGTATATATGTAGCGAATAATACATAGAAATAGCAGAACGTTCATTTGGTTAAAGCAAATCACATACACACAAGGTGAGGAAAACAAGACGGCCACTTTGACCCGTCAGTCTTTTTGGAATAGTTTTTAACAATCCGACATTGCTCTTCCCACTTCCAACGCTTAAGAAACGTACAAATGAATCGCCCCGTGTGCTCGCACATCGTATCGCAGTCTTGTTTCGAGATGACGGCTCATATCAACCCTCGGAGTTAATTAGCGCAACTGGCGAACTCCCTTTCCACCTTCCAGCCTCACTACATGTTCACTTCACAATATCTTTCTAATTCTATAACTTAAATTAATTATTCCTCGTTTAAGACTCCCCGCTCCCCGCTCCCCACCTGTTTCTTAAAATAACTCATTAATTAGCTGTGCTAATCTTTACTTCACAATGTTTACGTAAATCATGCAAATAAATTCATACCGTCAAGTAATTTCTTTTTGGGCTTTTAAATTGGATTTTCTGACATCGACGTGAAAGAATGCATATCTACTTTATATCTTCACGTTTGTTGTATTCTACATATTATTAATGATTCTACATTTCTATCAGATTAATAATAAAGCATTAATTTCTTGAG